GGTCCCGGGGGGGGCGATGCCTTACCTGGGCGCTCGCCGCCGCTGCCGGCTCTGCTGCGCCCGGGCCACGGGACGTGTTGGGACTTGAGGTGGAGGAGGAGGAGGAGGAGGAGGAGGAGGAGCGGGTGAGCAACACCTTCCCGGTCACCGCCAGCGCCCGCAACGCCCCACGGCCTCGCCCCACAGAGCCAGGGGTGGGGTGGGGGCAAAGGGCAGGTGCTGTGGGGCAGGGTGATATGGGGTGGGATGGCATGGGATGGCATGGAATGGCATGATTATGGCATAGGATGGGGATGGCATGGGATGGTACGGGATGGGATGGTGGTGGGAGGGTGATGGCATGGCATGGTTATGGGATGGGGTGGCATGGGATGGCATGGGATGGGATGGTTGTAGGATAGGATGGGTGGGGCAGGGTGATATGGGGTGGGATGGCATGGGATGGCACGGGATGGGATGGGATGGCATGGAATGGCATGATTATGGCATGGCATGGGGATGGCATGGGATGGTTATGGGATGGGGTGGCATGGGATGGCATGGCATGGGATGGTGTGGTGGTGGGAGGGTGATGGCATGGCTTGGTTATGGGATGGGGTGGCATGGGATGGAATGGCATGGGATGGCCATGGCCATGGCATGGCACAGTTATGGGATGGGAGACCATGGGATGGGATGGCATGGGATGGTGTGGCATGACATGGCATGGCATGGCATATGATGGCATGGCATGGTTATGGGATGGGCCTGGCATGGGATGGGATGGCATGGAATGGCATGATTATGGCATGGGATGGGATGGGGATGGCATGGGATGGGATGGCATGGGATGGTGGTGGGAGGGTGATGGCATGGCATGGCATGGCATGGTTATGGGATGGGATGGCATGGCATGGTTATGGGATGGGATGGCATGGCATGGGATAGGATGGCATGGTTATGGGATGGGATGGCATGGCATGGTTATGGAATGGGGATGGCATGGCATGGGATAGGATGGCATGGTTATGGGATGGGATGGCATGGCATGGTTATGGAATGGGGATGGCATAAGATGGGATGGTATGGCATGGTTATGGGATGGCCCTGGCATGGGATGGCATGATTATGGCATGGGATGAGATGGGGATGGCATGGCATGGCATGGCATGGTTATGGGATGGGATGACAGGGGGATGACCTGGTTATGGGATCCATGGTTATAGGATGGCATAGGATGGCATGGGGATGGGGCTGGCTTGGCATGGTTATGGGATGGGGATGTCATAGGATGGGATAGCATGGGATGGGATGGCATGGCATGGTTATGGGATGGAATGACAGGGGAATGGCATGGTTATGGGATGGGATGGCATGGGATGGCATGGCATGGTACGGTATGGCATGGGATGGGATGGCATGGTATGGCATGGTTACGGGATAGGATGGGATGGGATGGTGTGGCATGGCACTGTATGGCACGGTATGGTTTGGTGTGGCATGGTGTGTCGTGGTATGGTATGACATGGCACGGCACGGTATGGCACAACATGGTGCAATTTGCCACAGCACAAGGTGGCACTGCCTGGCACAGCACGGGACAGACTGACAGGGGGTGGCACAGCACGGCATGGCACCGGGTGGAAGCTCCATCCCTGGTGCCACACATCTCCGGGCCGTGCACCGTGACACCATCCCCGTCCCTGCCATGGCCCCGGGGGTGGCATCCCCGAAGTGCCGGCGGCCGGAGGGGACAGAGAACCTGCCCTGTGCCTGTCCCCTGGCGGGAGGGGACGGTGACGGGCTGTGCCAGGGCTGTGCCAGCCGTGGGAACGGCGCGGCCGCGGTCACCGGCGGGTGTGAGATGAGTCACGGCGGCTGGCGCGGGCGAGGGGGCCACATCCTGTGCTGCTGGCACCGGGCAGGGGGTGGAAAGTGTGTCTCAGCCCCGGGGACGGTCCCACCGCCTGCGGGGACAGGGGATGGGACGGGAGGGCAGGGGGCAGGTGGGGGAGGGACAGGAGAAGTGCAGGCAGGGGGCAGGCAGGGAGGAGGCAAGTTTCAGGGAAGGAGGAGGCAGGGAGCTGGCAGGGAGCAGGCAGGAGAGGTGCAGGCAGGGAGCAGGCAGGAAGAGCTGCAAGCAGGGCAGGTGCACATCAGGGGGGGCAGGCAGGGAGGAGGCAAGTTTCAGGGAAGGAGGAGGCAGGGAGCTGTCAGGAGAGGAGCAGACAGGGAGAAGGCAGGGGAGGTGCAGGGAGGAGGCAGGGGGGCAGGCAGAGTGCAGGCAGGGAGGGGAGGCGGGGCGGGGGCGGGGGA